TATCAATATTTGCATTGGTGATACTGCTCAATTATGCTTCGATATTCGGTGGCATCAGCGTCTGCATTGGTGATGGTGTTCGTTTATGCTTTGATAATCGTTGGTGTCATATTTTGCATTGATGATGGTGTTCAGATGCGTGTTGATGTTCGGTGACACCAGTATTAGCATTGGTTGTGTTGATTAAATAGGTATGGATCAATGGCGTCATTTATATGTGCACGGGTGATGGTATTGGGTTTGATATTCACTTCACGAGCCGATATTATTCGCATTGGTGATGGTGTTCTGTTACAGGTTTATATTAGGTATCATTAGTTTTGGAGTTGGTGATTGCATTCGATTTCATATTGATATTATGTGGCATTAGTATTTTTATTGATGTTGGTTTTCTGTTGCAGGTGAATCTCCGGTGGTGTTTGCATTTGCATTGGTGGTAGGGCTCAACTTGGTGTTGACTGCAGAAGCAAATAGTATCTGCGTCAGTGATCAGTTTCAGCTGCCTGATCATATCAGGTGGCATTAAGATTGGTTTTGGTGATGTTGTTTTGTTACCAAGTATTAGTAAAGTGGATCGTTGTTGGGTTCAATGGTGGCAGAATATCGGGAGTTGATATTAGATGGTATTGAGTTTTTATTGTTGATGATGCAGATGCTGTATTTTTTGCTGGATAGTTTGATACTGTTAGCGATGCTGCTGATCGTTGTGTATATCACTGTCAGATGTTGGTGTCAGTTAAATCAATAGTATTGTTCGCTTTGGGGTTAATGTTTTGGTTTTGTTGTTATTGTGAGGGGATCTGTGGTTGGTTTGTTGTTTTAGTGGAAGTCCATGGTCGTAGTAATGTTTATTTTCATGCTGGATTAGTATTTTGTGGTGTTGTTGTTGGTTTTGAATGTTGAAATAAAATGAAAATGAAAATCGGAAAAAGGTGTATAAAGGTTGATCGTATATAATAATAAAAGGTACACTTCATGAATGTTAACAGTGAATTATTCTCGAATGCTCTGGCGAATATTTAGTTTCCCCCAATAGTATTTGAGTTTCGAACAGAAATAAAAGTATAAAAAAAAGATAATACTTACCCTTATTTGAATTTACAGTATGCGTATTATTTACTTTTTCGTCTGGGTATTTATTCGCACTGATCAATAAGATTATTACCTAACGGATACCTT